ATAATTGATAGGTTAAAAATTTAGCCAATATTTTAGCCACATGTTGCACATATTAGTAGCTTATGAAACAAGCTAATTATGTGGCATAAATATAGAAAACTTGTTTAGTAATTTAAATATATGTCTTGCAAATTGGACATGTATTAAAGGTCTTATAGAACATCACCACATAGCTTTTAGATAGATAGTATATATAGAGGCAAGAGTGAAGCCTTCTTTACTTTTATCAACTCTTTTCTTGCTTCCAATCTAGTTTTAATAGTCTCTAGCTTCATAGTCTTTGACAATATCTATTCTTATTTCTTATTAAATATATTTACTTTTTTATTTCTATTTTTTCATCTCTCTTTGGTTTATTATTTATTTATTTACATATCTTCTTTGGGTTCTTGTCCTTGACATGAAGTATTTCGACCATCAATAATAGATGTTGCATTAATTACAAAAGATGATATTTTTTGCAACATGCATAAATATTTTTGCATCTACTATTAAGGATTTGGATGTACTAAATATATGACTTTCTATAGAAGTTTGAATTAAGCTATAAAAAAATCAAGGTTATGAGAAATTAAATTTATTTAAAGATTATACTTCTTTAGCTTCAATTAACTTAAAGAGAGATCTAATAACATTAAATTATACTAAGTTATCATAACTATGAGTTGATACACCTAAAAAAATGGTTTTTTAGATAACTTATCTAGAAAACAACAAACAACCATCTATTACTTCTATATGTATAAGCTTAGTTTTCTTGATTAAAGATATTTTTTATTTTTTAACAAAGTCTTTATCTAAAAAACAAACTCAAGCTCTTAAAATTAACAAGATAGAGGCTTTGTACTTCTTTGGTCTTAAACAAATATCTATTATAAAATAAAATAATGGATGTAAGGAGAGAATAAGACCTTTATTAGATGTTGTACAAGACTCCAGCTATATAGTCCTTATTGTAGCTGAAAAATCTCTTTTTTTGATATATAGTCTTTTTTAGCAACCATGCTTCTCATTTTGTGATTGCATTGTTTTTTTGAACAAAGTTAAGTAATATATATAGATTCTCTACAATATAAGCACAATTCTTCTTAATAATATCTTATATTTTCTTAATTACTAAGAGATTTTAATTATATCATATTAATTTCACATTGGTTTCAACTTTTATGAATAAGTTTCTAAAAACTTAGAAATTATTGCCATAACTTAACTTACAAAAAAATTCAGATCATATGAGAATTATAAATCTTTTTCTATCAAGGGTACAAATTAAAAGAAAGAACTTCCAAATAGAAGTATTACTATGAATCCAACTTGAGTAAATCTATCAATGTATTGAAAAGGATACAACCTCAGATAGAGCTTTATTTATTATAGAAATATTTGAAATTTTGATTTTGTTTTATCAAACTTCTTTGGCATGCTAATCTTTGCATCATTCATAGTTGTAATAGCAAGACACCTTAGATTTAGTTGTGGAATGGATTTACTTACTTCTCTTAATAATAAAACTTTTTGATGTAGACTTTGAACTTTATTATTGATTTTTTTAATAAATATAGGAATAGTACCTCCATAGTTGATATGAAAAATACAAGAAATTTCTAGCCTAAGAGTATTGATAAGCTCGTAAAGATCTACAATCATTACAAATTTATTTTTATTTTTATCAAATATAGCATCCATATTTCTTTTTCATAAATAATATAAATAAAATCAAAAATCAAATTAGACGAGGATAGTCTACAATCTCTAATATCAAATAAAAATTTCCACAAAAAAAGGTAGTCTATTCTCTTTAAAAAAAAAATATCAATGTTAGAAAACTCAAATAGTAGTTTAAAAGAAGATAGTGTGTAACCTTCAAAACATCACAAAAGAAGTGAGATAATCCACTCACTTTTAAAATAAAACAAGAATAATGAATTAGCATTTTTATTAAACTGTTAAGGATATGAATCACAAAGATTCAAATGTATAATTTATATTATATTATTAAAAAAGAGTAATTAATTATTTAAATATGATATAATATTAAATTAGAATAGATATTATTAAATATAAGAAAAAAAGACTCTTGAGATAAAATTGATTAAAATAGCATTGACAAGAGTGAAGAAGGCTTCATTTTTTTCTCTACATATACTACCTAATTAAGAGCTATGTGGTGACATTCTATAAGACTTTTTATACATGTCCAACTTGTAGAACATATGTTTAACTTCCAAGACAAGTTTCTTATATGTGTGCCACATGGTTAACTTGTACTACAAGCTACCAACATGTACAATAGGTGGCTAACTTATTGGCCAAGTTTCTAACCTATCAATCAACTATAAACATATATAAAGTCAAATCCATATCTATGAAGCTTCTAAGAAGCTTTACCACCAGATATTATCAAATCTACATACATTTATCTTCTACCTAATGCTTCTTATCTAGGTAATTCATATATATCCATGGCAATAGAGCTATAAAATTGTGCGAGACTATTCTTAGTACAATTAATTTATAAGAGTATCTTACTTAACATTCATTGTTAAATGCATGGTTGTTACTTTTAAAGTATAGACTTTGACTTGTGCAAAGAATTGAAGATTTTAGGCAACTTCATGTGTTCAAGTTTCTAGCCTAGAACAATCAAAATTAGATAAATATTTTTTATATTCAATCATCAAACAAAAAATTACTTAAAAAATTAGATTGATTGATATTACATTGATATTATGAAAAAGCTTCTTTAAAGTCTATAAATAAATTACCTTAAAATTATTTCTAAATATTAATAAAATATAAATTATCAACCACCAAATGCACAAAAAAGAAGCGCAATTGGTAAAGAGAATAAAATAAAACAACTAACTTAGTCATTGCAAGCATCTATTTATTTTTGTGCAAACAATAAAATTTCATATATAACTTCATGATAAGTTTTATATCTAGTTTTTAGCTCAACTCAACTTTGAAGCAGATAATGAAAAAAATATAAAAAAATATAAAATAAAATACACAATTATAATATTACTTTATTAATACTATGAGCAACCAAAGAAACTCTAACAACTTTCAATTTTATTTTGGTAACATATATTTAATTCTAACCAATTTATTAGCTTTAAATATAGTAATTAAAATATTTTTAAAAAAAACTTTGTATGTGTTTGTATATATATATATATATATATATATCAAATTATAAATTCTTAAATAGACATGTGATTTTCATATTATTAAATTAATGAATCTCAAACTAAAAAAAAACTATAAATTAAGTAGCTTATACAAAAAAAATTAAGCAAATAATATACAAAGACTTAAAAGTATTAAAAATTCCATTAATTTTAAATTAAAAGTACTTCATTAATAAATATAATTTTTAAAAATAATAAGATTTTTATTTTATTTATCAAGCTTTTATTGGTTTTATCTTTAACTTAAAAAAATAAGGTAAAAAATGGAATTTAAAGAAATAAAATAAAATAAAATAAAATATTAAAAAAATATTATTTACAAAAACAAACTTCATTATCAAAATCCAAATTGACTTTTTACTTAAGAAACAAGGGATTGGGAACAAGGGACAAGAGGGCTAGCAACAAGGAATGGAAGGGCTAGAAACAAGAAACAGAGGGGCTGAGACAACAAATGAAGAAGGGGGGGGGTATATATTGGGAATAAGATACAAAGGAGCGAGGATGGACAAAACTAATCATGAGATTGCAAGGGAGTGTGGCTTTAACAACCCCATATATGTGTGTGTATATATATATATATATATGTAATATTAAATAATAATTTATTACTACAATAATTTTGGTTTTCACTAAATAAATTTTTCATGAATCATTAATTAAGCGTTTTAGCTGCAATTAATTTTCCAATTTTTCCAAGCTCAATCCTAGCTGGTGGATTTCTTTATATTATTCAGTTTTGGGAGATTATATTGTTGTGTGAGTTATCACTCTTGGCCTCCCTCCTATGGGCTCGGCTTCTTTTACCTTTGGTCTCCTCCCTTCCTTGTGGGCTGGAATACTAAATTAAGAAAACACCCTTCAAAAAAATTGGATCTGCTCAAACTATTTATATGGGTGACTGATTTATATCAAAAACTTTTTTTTTCACAATGCCCAATTTGGGGTTTATACATGATGGCACAATAAGACTACATGCTTTCGTTAGATACCGTTCTATTCAGTCAATCTTATGGCCTTTGGAATGGAAAATGTTAATGAACACAATTCTTTAAATATATATATATATATATATATGCAAATGGATTGTAACAGTTTCTGACAATTGCGATATGCCATCAGGATAGAATTTTCAATCACGATCGAATGCTTACTGGCAGAAAACTGGAATCCGTTACCATTTTTGATTCAGGTTTATCGATAGTGGATCAATGTGTCAGCTTTGTTGGAACAGCAGGATCAAGTTGAAAATACTATAAATAAGGACCCCTGATCCCTGCACTTAAATTGGGTATTCTAAATATTCAGAACTTCAGAGGTGGGCATATTGAGTGACTTTATAAAAAGCAGCTTTTGTTTTAAAGAACTCGAGTCTGTGGGGGTCCTGCTTGCAACCTCGTCTAGAACTAGGCTAAATTTATCCATAACAAATGCTACGAAAACCACTCACCATGAAGTAAAAAAAATTTCAATAATGAAACTCGTGAACGTCAACATGCCTGAACAACTTATTGGAGTGGGTCTAGTGTCAAAGCAATCACCAAGTTGCAACAAAATCATTGTGGGAGACAAAGGTGAAATCAGTTACAAGTTTCATTGATAATCAGATCACGATATCAACCATCCTACTGAAGAGACAAGTGGCTCGCAAGATTCAACATTTATTTTCGTCCCCACCACGAGCGCAGATTCTATTTTTTTTATTTTTTTATTTTTATTCCACTCTAAATAAACCATTCAATCGCATTTCTACTAGAACAATCAGAACCTACAGGACTGAAGCGGCTTAGTCAACCTGGAGTTCTATATCTTAAATGAAAGCACCATCTATTATGGAAGGTATTATGAGCAGTTAAAAGTTTCAAGTGTTCGCTTCAGAAGCTTAACTGAGGATACTGGTACAGAACTGAAACCCTACCTCATACAGATGTGGTTGGCGAACCTAAAAAATTCCTTCATTAAAAGGTAATTCATCTACTTGTCCAGTTGCTTCTTGAGGTCGTAGTTCGTATGGAAAAGTGAGGCAAAATCGAGAGAAACGTTGACGTCAAGGAGTGAGGTCAAGTACTGTACCATGGTAACAATACAATAAGGAGAAATGATTCCGAGTGCTGACGGAACCAAACGAAAATTTCTTTGTTGAGGTTTCCCAACTTAACAAGACTTAGACGAACCTTGCAAACCGCAATAGCTTTCGTATACGTTTCATGCCCCTCAACTGCAAAACATAGCAAACACATCATTGAAGTGTCATGAGAATGAGAGGACTAGGATAAAAGAGGTGGTGTCGCGTACTGCAACATGTTTTATAGCTTCTCAAAATTAGGTGCAGAACATATTCAACCCTATGCCATAAGTTCAATCCAATGACATTTTTGTTGTAAGAAAGTATCAGTGCCACAAGCAGAACTAGTCCACCAAGAACAGTCAAACATACAGCTAATTACCATCGCGAGCAAGCACTTTAATTCTACCAGTCTTGTGAGTCACCTTCTATGGAGAGTCGGTCGCACAAAATTCAAGGCATAGAATAATAGACTCTTGTCTCGTACTGAGGTAAGAACGAATAGGCCCTTAACTGCAACTCATAGATGCAAATTTGCCGATTATCAAAACTTCAACGAAAATACATAAGTATCTAGACACACATAATTGATTTCAAACATGTGCGTGGTCAGCAGATTGTTTACAAATGAAATCCTACTTGGAATCATACAGATACAATTAGAATACTTATTCTGCATGCTGTAACATTCACAAGTATTGGCAAATGGAAAACAACGATAAAATAGAGAAAAAGGATTACGCCGATGGGTCAGAAATGATATATATGTATATATGGTTAATGCGAAGCTTCGAACGCCTTCCACAAGGTTCTTTCTGCCAAGTTAAATGCACTAATATCAGTAACTTGAATGTAGGAACATCCTAATCGATGGTAGTCTCAGCTCCCATTCTCAAGCAAGTCTCACATTTAAAGCGATTACAAAACGGGTCATACAAATTGTAATTAGGAATCAAAACCATGTAGGTGAACTGTGGAGTCTAAACTGCCAAAGATAGTAGAAAGTAGATTTTTTCACGTGCAAATGTGATCTACAAAACCATCACAGTTACCCAGATCCACCAAAATTGTAGACACCAGAGTCATGAAAAACTCCCGTGGTGCAGCACCTGATTCTATGATTCTACATGAAGTCTCGTCAATGAGCATCTTCTTCCACGCCAGGACAGTCATTTCGAAGTTGTTCTCGAGATTCGTACTGCACCAAACAAAATGCTCCAATAGTAGTTTTCATGAGAACTTCTGTTTTGGGACGTGGAACTGAATATAAGCTTAGCATGCTTAAGTTACCAAGACCTTCGTTTCATTTGATATGTCCACTAAGAATCTTCACATAATATTCATACTTGAGACTTATTTGACAATTTTCAAATACAAATATAGCAAGAAGAGGCTACGAAGTCGACAGTAGTTCATAAACAGTCCATTAAAACTGCGGCAACGTTCGTGGTCTGAAGACTTTTAAGGTTTGAAACCAAGCTGAAAGACAAGAATGAAGACACTTATGACTGATTACATAGTCCTGCATCTGAATGGAGCACAGCTTCAAATGTCTTATTCTCTGTCGTTGTCAAACCAGTATTTAACAGGCATCTACTACCAATGATTGACTTCAAGTTTTCTTCACAGTTACATAACCTTGCGGCCTTGCTATGTATAACGGATTCCCAGAAAAGATGTCCTGAGCCTCAAACAATCGAGTCGGCAGGAGTTCCACAAACCTGAAAACCGCAATATAGGCAGTAATTGAAAACCTCACGTAACCGAGCCAAGGTTTCTTGTAGCATCTGCAATAATCGATGAGAATATCAAAAGTGATTAATCATGTAGAAAACACCAATGAATTAAAAACTGACAACAATAATTGTAATTCCACAGCACTTCAGCGCTGAAATAGATAAGACATTACTATCACATAAACCCCAAGGATTTCGACAACAACAAATTAAGGCAGTCAAAAGAAGTCATAAAGCTCTTCAAAAAGGCTTAAATAAATACTTATAAGTAGAATGAATTCGTAATATGAAGACAAAAATAGATTAGAAGTGCACTATCAATCTCTGAATAATTAACAGCTGTGAAATCAATTTCCATCCATGATTCCATGCTCCATGTTCAAGTCTCATCAAATACATGCTTACCTCTTCCGTAATAACCTCCTCTTCCTCCTCCTCCTCCTCATCAGCATCCTCATCCTTCTGCTTCTTTTTCTCTTCCTTTTTCTCTACAGCACCTTTTGCTTCCTGCATGTTCACTTTCAACACACCTTCTGCAGAACCTGAAGACTGCTCTTCAAGCTGCAAAAGAGCAGTGTAAGCCTTGCGGTAATCACTTATGAGTTTCCGACTCTGCCAGGTTCCCCTCCTCCTTTCTTCAAATCCTTCCCTCAATTCATCCACTTTCTTTCGCTTCTTCTCCTGAACGAGAGCCTTAACCTTCGCTTTTAGAACTTTTTCTTCTGCCACAACTCTGTCTCTGCCCAACCCTGTTCTATTGACCTTCACATTTACGCTAATTGGCTCTGTGGCTCCCTGACCGCTCTTTCCCAGAGCATTACCTGGTTTGTACCCCATCTGCTGCAACATTTTGAAGCCAATATTGGACGAAGGAATGGCAGCAACCAGTCCCTCCTGCCGCTGTTCTGCTTCTTTCTTCACCTTCTGGACCTCTTTCAACTTCCGCTTCTCTTTCCAATTCACCTTTTCTTTAGGTGCACCAGCCCCTCTCCCCTTCCCTGTCTGTTTGAATGTGACAAACCTTGTCATGCTTACACTCAAGAACTTAAAGGCTTGGCTGCTATAATCCTTCCCCATAATTTTTTAACGATCGAGAATTGTTCTCTTGTATTCAGCAACACAAAAAACACTAACATCTAAATTGTTGATAAAGACCACCAGACTTATGAGCAAGAGTAAGATTTTAGTGGAAAACACCATAAATTTTTCGTGGAATTACATTCTTAACGTACGTGCAGTTGAAAGAATCCACCATAACCCTAATGTACTTTTAGTTCTAGAATTACTAGCAACTTTCAAGTTCCCCCACCCAACATATCACGAAAACCAGACAATGAATCGAGTTCACAACTTTAACCTCAAAAGAGACAAGGAATTCATTGTAGTTGTACAAAAATCGTATTCATTCCGCTGGCTACACAAAATCGAGATATCGCCGTATACTCTACAAAAAACACAAAATTAAAATTCGAAAAATTCGAAAAATACTAAAACACGACCACGGCATCACGTGAAACTTGCCTGTGAGGATGATTTTGAATAGAGAAGTTCCTCCTTGGGGATAAACCGCTCAAGGTCACCCATGTAATCGTCGTCCTCGTCTGCCGCCATTACCACTAAGGAATCGCACAAATAACGACCAGCACAAAAATCTGAAGCTAAAATCGAAGCTGATGGTTGGTGGGTAATAGAAAAATCGAGTCTCCCGCAATCACTGCAGCCTTTCGGAAGGAAATACAAACGAGAAATTGCGACACGGCGAGCGTCTCGCATCAACAACGGCGGAGCAGCTCCGCCATGCTGCAGAAAAATGAACATGAGAGTCTTCCATAAACCGACGAAATAAAACGAAACGTCCTCTGGATCGACAGTGTGGGACGAAGAGTGGGTGCCCAACGAAAATCCTACCTGGCAGGTTTGAGTCCACGTCATCACCGGCACTTTGTGCTCTCGAAAGCGTCCAGAAGTTTCGTCTCGTTTCAAAATTGCGAGTATAGGAGTTTGAAGAGGACTTTATGAAATTTAAATTAGTGAACAAAGTTATTGAATTGCAATATTAAGATGATTTCCAAAAAATTAATTAATTTGTTGGAAAAAAGTATAATTACAAAAGGACGATTGGAACTTGGATTTTCTAAATATTTGTCTAATTGTGTTTAGATCAATCCCTCACTGTATTTATATATACATAATATGAAATAAAACTTAGGGTTTAGATTTACTCAATTTATTTACTAAAAAATTATATTATCTCAAATGAATGTAATTAGTTTAAATTCTTTTGAAATAAGTACATAAATAAATAAATAAAACATGTCTAATTTTTATGGAATTATTAAAAGAATGAATTTTCAATAGAAGATAAAAAAATAATAATAATCATCACAGAATAACTTGAGTTTTAAAAAATATTATTTTAAAACTTATTCTTTAATCTATGTTGTAATGTGTATATATTTGACAAATAATCATTATATTATAACTTTTGATGTCCACAGACATTTATCAAAACTTTTATACATATCTGTCAATCCAATAGTTGTTTTAATATATATTGCAAAAACTATATAATACATGTATTTTAAAATTATATAAAATATTTATATAAACCATACATATATTGGTAATTATTTCAACAAAATTTTCATTTTTATATTTTTATAATAATTATCAATATATATAATTTTTCTAGCAAATAAATACATTGTTTAAAAATATTAACTTATAAAACACATTTAAATGAGCTACATATAATTAATTGTAATTATGATAAAACCATAAATAAGTATAATATATAGTAGCATTAATATCTTAAGGTTGTATTGATTTACTTTAAAAAGAATGATCATGTTACATCTGTTAAATTAAAAAATAAAATTTACATGACAAATTAGTTGTATGAATTTTATAAATACAAATACAATCTACTTTGGTTTCAATTTCTATTATCACAAACACTATAATTTAATAAATATGATACTTACATTGTTTTCGGTAAGAAAATTATGCATAATTTACTAAATTTGCATAAAGGAGTAAAAATAAATAAATTTTCAAATGTTGTATGAAATTAAAATTAAATGAAGAACTGAATTATAATAATTTTTCTTCTCTTAATTTTCCAAAACAAATAAGTAGTGTAAAAGATTTTAAAAATTTATACAAGTTTATTAATATATGATTTAATTTTGAGACCATTTCAATTAAACTATATCCTTTGTAAAAATACAATTATCAAATACAACACATTAACAATTGAATAAATATTTTATTCTTAAAATCTACAAGTTGTAGAAAAATTAAATATTTTTGATGTAGAGTCAATAAATCGTAATTAAATAAATATATTTTAAAATATTAAATATAATCAAAATTCAACCATAATTGATTACATAAAAAGAGATAAAGATTAAGAATACAAAAACCAATGTATAAAAACAAAACAACATATTTCTAAATAATATATTGTATTAAAACACAATTTGACTAAATTATTTTTTTAATCAAAACCAGGATTTTATGAATAAAAAAGATATTGATTACTTTAAAAATTACCAAGAAATGATATTTATATTATATTAACTTTTTACAAAATTTTGATTATAAACACAAGTGAAGCAAATCCCTCTACATTTTTTCTTTTCTTTCTTTTTTTACTTTCTTATTTGTAAATATGCTCTAAATTATCTAATATTATTGATTTTAAAAATACAATCTAATTAGCTTTTTTTGATGTGAAGTTTCTTACAGTATTCAATAGATTCTATATTCAAAAAAGGAAAATTTCAAAAACACTAATAAATTCATTCAAATTCAACATAACATAGAATATTATGAGAATTTTCTAAAGTTTTATTTCATACCAAAGAAAAAGGATTTTAAAGAAATCATTTCTTGAAATATTGAGGGGAAATAGTAAGATTATATTTACAATAGAAATTCTGTGGCAATATTGAGGCTAATTCTGTATTGGAATTAAACTTGATACAAGAATTTAATGTAGGTTCCTAATCATGTGTTTTAGAAACACGCAATAATGAAACCTAAACCACAGACTACAAAAAATTCAAACAAAAAAACAAAATACCAAAACAAAAACAAGTGGGACTTCTATCTCAATCATCCACAAAATGTTACATCCTAAAAAGAATTCTTCCTTCGTTGCTTACAATCTCCAGTTTTGTCAAGTCAATAAATTTAGGTCAAATTTAGGTCAAATTGTAGGTCAGTGTTAGTTTGGTGCCTTGCACTGAACAAACACATGTTGGGTACTATCAAGTATGAGATCCAACCCATATCATTCAAAATCCACGTGCATTTTTCTCCAGTATGGGTTCAATAAATACCCCTTTGTTGACACATTTTTTGTGGTGTGCTTAGACAGTCATGTGGGTGTTTGATCAAATCCTGCATATGAAGCTCTAAATCATTCTTGTCCTGAGTTGTTAGCAAACGTAAATGTGAGCTTGTATAATAATCAAAATCAAAATCAAAATCATTGAGCAGGTTTCTATAAAAAAGCGTTTTAGATGTGTTTGTAATCCACAGAACAGGAATTTGATTGTGGTTGGTCTTTGTTCCTTTATTTAAACCCTCTGAGTATTTTTAACACCTTGTTGAGTTGAGTCTGTTGCTAAAAAGAAATGAAAATAAAAATAAAATCTGGCTAAAATTCAAATGGCTCTTCATAACTTCTTTTTTTTTTTTTTTTTTTTTTTTTTTCATGAAAACATTCTTGAAATTTTAATTTTGCATTCCACCTCACCAATATTTTAGAAAAATTCATTTGCAATACATTTGCTTAACATAGTTGATGAATCCCCTATTTCTAGACTAAACACAAAATAATAGTGCAAATACTTGTGCATGATTTAGTGCTTCAATAATTACCTTAATTATTCTACTTTAATTGAAAATAGAAAATAAAACTTGAGATATTCCTATTCAATTACAAAGAAATAAATTCTTCTAATAGATTTAAGGATTTTTGACACAAAAAAATAAAAAAATACATCAAACATTGGAATTTTACATACTGCAATAAAATACACTACCACAATATACTAATCAAACTATTGTAGGAATAATAGAGAGTATAAAATAATAAACAAATATTTCAAACAAAGATGACGATGAGGATTTGGTTGAATATTTTGTAATTTTTTAAAATTAATATTAAAAATAAGTGGCAACACCTTACATAAATTGGTACAAAAATATCTAAAATATATAATATTCATTAAAAAAATAACTCTAAGAATCCTGTATTTAATTGCACGCAGAATGTTCTTATAGATTAAAATACATAGTGTAAAATATGCAAAGATAATTGTAATATTAAAAATTGTAATATTTAATGTATCAAATATGAAAAAAACATCTGAATTATTATTTTTAATTTATATAAAAAAAATCTAGATAAATGACATTATTGTTGTGATGGTCTTGTGGTGGTCTAAAATTTTTTACAACCAAATTCGAATATATAATCGCAGAAATTCCTATTGAAACAACAATATTTAATGTATCGAATGGCTCCAATTATTGAACCAAACATGTGCTATAATAGGATCTATTATCTTATATATATATATATATATATTTGTCATAAATTAAATCTAATGAGTTTATTAAGTGTGTTAATTTTTTTGTTTGTTATTGTAATGATTGTCCAATTGTAGGATTATAAGATAATATCATGCCATTATTCTATATTATATTTAAAGTCATGTGATACTTAATACTCTCCAAAACAAGATATGTTTCTAAGACTCTTGTCTTTAATCGTGAGTGTGAAGTCACACTATTCATGATAAGGATCATTGATTCAAATGTCTTTATCTAGTCCACCATCACTATTGATATATCATACCTATCAACACGAAGAGCTTAGAACAAAATCATTTATGTAATGGTTATTTTATTTTTTTGTTTGATTTAATATCTTCTTTGTAAAAAAAAATTCTAATTATACAATCCAAATTTTATCTACTATGGTCAAATTCAATAAAACTTGATGTATATTATCAGGTAAGATTCTAATTATTTTGAAAAAAGTACTGATGATTGTCATTATTAAAATTTAAAATTTTAATTACAAAAGGATATTTAAGAAGGTTAGTTAGAAGTTTTTAAACGTAAAATTTAACAAAAATTAATTAAAATATTAATATATTGTTTTATTATTCAGACATTTATTTAAGAAAATCAAATAAAAACATTAACTTTTCTTGCTAATAAATGAAGTTATTTAGATGATGTTTTAAATGTTTTATGTGAGTCTCTCTCTCTCTCTTTCTCTCTCTCTCTCCATATATATATATATATATATATATACATGAGATTTACTCCATAACATTTTAAGACATTATAAGAAGAAAAATCTAATCAAACATGATTCTAAAAATAAAACAAGAAAAATACTTAAGATAAGAAGTTCAACATGTAAAATCAGATTTGCTTTTTAAGAAATTAAATAAAAATATTATTTACAAGACTAGATTTTTTCAAGTATTAAAAAAATTAGTGATTAATCATATTTTATAAAATGCCACTATTTGGTTTATATTTTTTTATTATTGATAATCTAAATTATCTAAAAGACATAATTTGTATGAAAAATAAAAAATAAAAAAATCCAAGAATCATTTTTTTGTAAATAAAATAAAAAAAGTATTTTAAAATCATTTTAGAATTAAAATCTTACTTATTGTGTGATTTTTATTAAAATTATATAAGTGTATAAATTCTACCTTTAAAAAACTAAATATTATATGTTTGTGGTTATATTATTTTTAGATATTATTTCAAATCCAACATTAGATAAGATAACTATTTTATTTCATTTTTTATTAATATTTTAAAATAATTTAATAATTTTAAACTTATAATAATCAATATGATTGTTTATCTCAATTGTCTCATGATAATATTAATTTTTTATGTGTTTTTATAGAATATGTACTTAAAATGTCAAATAAGAATGTTTAACTATTCAATTCTTAGAAGAAATAATAACAATATTGGCAGATTGTCAATTTCAATACTCATTTTTATATGTTTCATTATCTCTCTTCTAAATGAGACTTAGTACACATTAATATTGTATCTAGAATTGATATATTGTAGATGTATGTTTCTAGTGGATATTCATCTATTTAAAATGTTTAGTAATTTGAAATCCTTAGATTTTCTTCTTGATTTTCTTAGCTGCAAATCCATCATACATTAATATTACTAAATATATACAATAATATATATTTTAAATATAGATAAGAATATTTTTACTTATTTTAAAATCAAATATTCTTATCTATTGCTTTTGTTGATCTTTTGGACATAAATAAAGAGGGTCTTTTCCTTGTCTACTACTCTAAACTCACTGTCAAGAAGATTATCTACTCAATTCCATTCATCCACATCACACTTTCGACAAGCTTAGGACTTGTTTAATCAAAATGTTCTTTAATTTTTATTTTTTTTAAAAAATAGATTAAAACAAAAATTTAGTTTTGTTGTTAAATTTAACAATATATTTTGTGGGTAAAATCGTTGCAGTTGTTTTTAAAAACAAAAATAAAAAGATCCCTTTTCAACATCTCCAACAAAAACTACAGCGATGCTTATTTGACTTATACTTTTTTGACACTTACAAAAAAATATAAAAATATAAAAAATAATGTGAGGAATTAAATTGCATATGATCACGAAAATGAAAAGTCGTACTTTGCTCTTAAAAGCATCCAAAAGCATATTGTTAAACCTATCAAATTAGCAAAAAATTGTATTTATTTTTATGTAGACTGACATAACATATTATATGCATTATTATACATACATGTACCATATATATACTATTTAGATATACACGTACACATACACACGCGTGATTGATTTAATACGGAAGTTCATCCAACTGTCATCCGAAAACATCCTTCCTCATTCGTGGTTAAACATTACCTCCCCAAGACCGAAAGGTGCCGTCCATGCGGTCACCAACCGTCCGGAGGATGCCGCTCGACGAGACCACCGCAGCGTGTTTCCTGCTCCAGACTCCAATGACGATCGCGAGGATGTTTACAGCATCACGCACTTCGCTCTCAATCGGATATCCGGCGACGAAGGGGCCTCGAGGATTCCGTCGTTGAATCCCATGCAAAACAATCCTTACCCAATTTATACATCAGCTCCCGTAAGCTCGGGTGAATATGACTTCGAATGCATCTTGAAATCGCTTCCGTTTCGGAGTTTAGTTCCTATGTTTTTTTGGCATCTAGCAACGGGACCCTGCTGCGGGCCGATCAAAGTCGGTCTTCGTTGGTGTTTTCTCGTTGTGCTCAATGCTCCTGTTGTCATTACACTCCAAGCTGCTTCATCCCAGCGCTGCTTCTTGTTGTTGCAGAGTCTCGGAAGCAGGTTGAGTTGTGCTGGGTGTTGGTGCGAGTGTGTTTTTTTTTTGGTTTTGAGGTTTCTGTAGAGTTCAGGATTTCGGAGGATTTGTTGGAGTGCGACGGTGAGGTTACGCGAGAGAGAAAGGTGAAGAAGTAGACGGAGAGATGGGTTCAACAGTGGTCTCATACAGTTCGCAGTGTGTCGGGTTGGCAGCACCCACGAACATTGTTGCCCGTGTGAGTGGCGCGGATTTGGACAGAATTTCTGGGCGGACCCATATGAGCACCCAATTCTATGGTGTGCGCTCTGGAGCTCTGGGTGCCAAGGGCTGGGTGCGGTCCTCGACCAGGATTTGCACACGAATCCCGGTGTTGATTATTAAGGCCCGCGTCGTTAATGAAGTGGAGGACATATTTCCAGATGCCGTCTCAAAGAGTTTGGAGTTTGATTTGGACTCTTACTTGAGAGCCAAGGCCAAGGCTGTAAATGTAGCCCTTGATAAGGCAGTGCCAATGCAATACCCGGAGAAGATTCGAGAGGCTATGCGTTATTCCTTGTTAGCTGGGGGCAAGAGAGTGCGGCCCGCTCTGTGTATTGCGGCGTGTGAACTTGTGGGAGGTAATGAGGATCTGGCAATGCCATCGGCTTGTGCTATGGAAATGGTCCACACCATGTCTCTTATTCACGATGACCTTCCTTGTATGGACGACGACGATTTAAGGAGAGGAAAACCTACAAATCACAAGGTACTATCTCTGCTCGGCCATATACAGCTCTATCAGCACTGTTTGTGAATGATTCGAGTAATTCAGTACTCGTATATAATTTTTTAGTTTTTCAGTGAGGAGAGAAGTTTACTCCGGAATAGATCAGAAACCTGTTCGTTCGATCGTTCCCCCATTCTCTTTCAGGGCATCGGCTTCATATTCCTTACTCTGGAACTGTAATCTTTCACGTATTGCGACAGAGTCCAGAACACTTAAGGGGTAGATTTATATTGTCACTAACTTCGGAAGCAAATATGTGTTGTTAAGGCCTTCGGAGAGGATACTGCTGTGCTGGCTGGAGACGCACTGTTGGCATACGCCTTCGAGCACATAGCCCGCGCAACGACAGGAGTGCCAGCGGATAGGGTTTTGAGAGTCATCGCTCATTTGGGAAAAGCTGTAGGTTCTGAGGGCTTGGTGGCTGGGCAAATTGTGGACATTGCGTCTGAGGGAGATCGTACTGTGGGCCTAGAAATCCTTGAGTATGTTCACACGCACAAGACTGCCGTTCTTCTGGAGTCTGCCGTTGTCAGCGGTGCCATCCTTGGAGGAGCTTCTGAGGACGAAATCAGCAGACTGAGCAATTATGCACGCAATGTGGGACTCTTATTCCAAGTACGTATCTCCTTGTACTGTTGCTATTGATGTGCGAGATACGCGTCTGGCTGCAAGATGTGTCGTGTGCCATCAGCGTGGGTCATTGTCCACCGTTATACCATTTTTTTCTTCAAATTGCACTGCTCATACTTTTCCATTGGATCTTTGATTGCTCATCTCTAAATCATCATATCGCTGGATGTGAACTTCAGAGCAGCATACTACTGGACTTGTCTGTGGCCGTGTCACCTATTGTCCTTGCTTTTGCACGAGTACTTTTAACAGGGTTATAACCAGCTCCCCGGCATTTGGCCGAGAGACTTGGGTCGCAATTCTGATGCTGTGAGCTTGTCGTTCTTTACAGGTCGTAGACGATATCTTAGATGTGACCAAGTCGTCTGCCGAGTTGGGCAAGACCGCAGGCAAAGATCTTGTGGCCGACAAGGCTACCTACCCAAAGTTACTGGGGCTGGAGAAATCGAGGGCTTTTGCGGAGGAACTGATACGAAAAGCCAAGGACCAACTTTCGGTATTCGACCAGCAGAAGGTAGCACCCTTACTTGGGCTTGCTGACTACATCGCTTACAGGCAGAATTAGCCACCTTCCATTCTTCAGGTGTAGATTATATGTAGATTAGCATATTATCAAGTATAAAAGGGCCCAAACGGGACGTAGGTTAAGCATTTCTGGATTGTCTGTGACTCGTATCATGGGCTACCAGTTATTATTGATGGCTCCAGTTCCTGAGAGCTTGTGGGCAGTATTCTTTTCGCAGTTTATAGAAGTTGACATCGAGACATGTACAGTACATTCTCTGAGGATCAAATCCAAGACTCAGCATTGCGTTTGCCTTCGTCGTGCAGTTGTTGCATATTGAATATCACTCCAAGCATGTGCTTTTTGAATTACAAAAAAGCGAAACCGTTACTGCTTTTTTGTTTTGCAGCATCCTGGTCCTTGGGAGCATGAGCTTCTTAGAGTAGTCCATCATGACAAAGGGTCCGCAGAAATTAATGAGCTTGAAACCCAAAAGTGCTGCAGAAAGTGAATGGATTGGATGCATCCAAAACTTTTTTAGCTTTGCCTTAACAAGGTAAAGGTAGTTGTCAACCACCTCAAATTTCCAACCTATAGGGACCAAGTCTGACATTTGTTGGTCACAAATAGGTTGGGGGTTGATTAAAATGACGTTAAGCTATGATTGGAAATAGACAGGGGTAGATTAAAATGATATTAAGCTGTGAGTTATTATTAGATGCCACACTTCTCTTGATAGCATAATTACGTGCCACACTTCTCAGTTTTGTAAAAGTTGGATTCTTGGTTTTGTAACCCAGTACTAGTCAGAATTAGGTTGGTCTATATGTCAGAAATGGATTGAAGAGAATCTTTAGCTAAAATATTTGTATGAATTTCGTTTTTTTAGTCAAATTGTATAATAACACCCGGAATCCTTCTCATTTCTATTTCTGTGCATGGAAGTATTATATATATATATATATATATAGCATTTACTACAAATATGTTAAAATGCTTAAGTTATTGGAAATGGATTGTCTATCTTACATGGAAGTAATCTAAGAAATAACTCAATGTCAAACAATATAGAGTGGATAAATAGATTAAGGACATAAAAAAGTAAAACCAATTTCAAACCCAAGACCTTCTATGTATTGTTCACTATCTTTATGTAGTATTTGTAGAATTCAAAATATACATATGGATGTTTATAGTAATCTTTTTTTTTTGGGTCTACTATTTGTTTTTAAATCATTTAAATTAAGGATGTTTGTTTTTAAGCTTCTCTTTGATAAGCTAAGTGGAAGATGAGGTTCTTGAGTAAGTAGTATTTAAGACTTTGCTTTAATCGTTTAAGTGGATGGACATCTCTCAAAAACATCCACTTATAGGACAAGTCTTGTCTTTACTTCTAAAACTCAATAATTAGAAGTTTGAAGTTTTACTATGATTATTAAATATCTAAAACAAAGATTTTTTTTAAAAAAAAATCTACGATTCTAATAACATTAATGTAGTGTTATAATTTTTTAATAATTTTTTTTATAGTTTTCTATCTAAAATAAAATATTAAAAATTAATTTTTTATTCAAAAATAATTAATATTATAATAGTATTATGATACAATTTACAAAAGAAGGAACTTAGATTTAGAGGTTTGTATTAAAAAAGTATTATTTATTATTATTATTTTCTTATTAATTTTTAAGAACTAACTTCTTATTAGTTTATAAAAATTATTATTATTCTAATTATCATATGTAATTCTTATTATTAAATATTAATTTATTTTAAGATTATAATAAATAATTAAAAAATATTTATATCTAAAAGAAACTTTGAAGTTATTCTTCTACTATTTAAATTAGTTAAGATTTTGTTTGAGTAATTGTAAATATGATTGAGTTCTCAAAGATTATCTTAACTCTTTATATTAAAATATTATAAATATATATGCAAAATATATGTAAATATTAATTTAAGATTTGTTAGTTGAATTTGGAATTCAATACAAATTAAGTGATTTTTAGTACATATTGTTGTGATATATTATAAGAGTCTATACAATAGTTTTTATATAAAAACATATTAATTAAAGATGCAAACTTCAAAGTATAAAGATATATAGATATAAAAAATATGAATATTCAAAATCTTTTCTTTAGTTTTATTGATTATAATGACAATTTTTTTTATAAAAATGAAACGAGATAGAGATGCATTTGCTATTGTAGTAGTTATAATACATTACACTTTACAAAGAAAATAACAAGAAAATTGCCAACAAAAAAAAATCATTATTAAGATAAGTGTTTGAAGACATTATTTTCAAAAAAATAAATATATATTTCTTTCAATTAAATTTCGAGAATTGTCAATTCTACATCTCCAATTGATATTGCTACACTCCACATGACCTCTACACAACTTAAATCGACTAAAAAGCTTGCTTCTATGCTTAAGGTATGTTTGGCACTGCAATGTTCAATCCCAATATTGATTCAAAAAAACCAAATTTTAAATTATGGAGTTTTTGAGGCAAATTTTATGCTTTTAAAAAAAGAACAGCTTGCAATTTATTTTTTTAATAAAATATTCATTGTCTCCCTAGCAATCACCAGCCTTTTTTTAAAGCAAAAAAAAAAAAGAAAAAAAATGTGCAAAAGAAAGAGGCATATGTATTGTTAGCTAGTTGTCTTTGAGAAGTGTATCAATATCAGCGTTAAACAATTCTCTAAATGTATTACTAGTACAGATACACATGGCGTTTATGGAAGGGAGGGGGTTGGTGACCCACGCCATCGCAGCGGGGCCACAGACCCAAACGGTGGGTGACTAACATACTCCCCTCAGCAGCTAATAACAAATCCCTGCATTTTGCTTCTTCTTCATAAAGTGTGACGCCCCACTCGCCTCTTGCTCCTCCACCACCACCATCTCGCTCAATCTCCCAGTGTCCTGCCCTTCTTCTCCTTGTTGCTTGTTGTTGCCCACCACGGAATTGCGCTCCAGCTGCGGATTTCGTCTCCTGCGTCGGGTTTTATCTCAGGAAATCGGGATTGGGAATTGATAATTCGCGTGATCGTGAGGTGGGTTGTTGTGAATTGCGTGAAGAATGTGCGCTAAGTGGGTTGCTTCTAGTATGCTGTGAGAATGGCGATTGTGGAAGTGGTAATTAGTGGGTTGGGTGAGTTGATGTCTGGCAGCAGGCGAATTCTCGGGCTTTTGTCATGTTTACTTCATCTCATGAGACGGAGACTTTGTTTTTGCAATGTTTCTGTGTGAATTAGTGAAAGCAAGGATGCAACGAGCGGTGGTGATAGATGGTTTCAACGAGAAGGATCCTGAAAGCTCTTTGAAGCTTGTGATGAAACCGATTCCGAAGGCAGAGCCTGGACAGGTCGTGGTGCATCTGACGCTGAGGCCTGTGAATCCAACAGACCTCGTCGCCATCCGCAGTGGCCGAGCAGCTAGAGGCATTGTTGGATCTGCTACTCCAGGATCGGAAGGTTTTGGCATTGTCCACGAGGTGAGCACCATCTTCTCCATTCTGCATTGTTCCGTTTCAACGAACACTGTGCTATGTTTTGTAATGAACTAAACTATTTTACAAGTCCGTATATTTGTGAACTAGGTCTCAAATTTTTGCCCACATCACAGAGGAACATAGGGTACTATTTTACAATGTTTGCGCGATAATCCTCTTGACATTGTGAATGCCGGTAATCCTCTCCGCAGGTAGGCGAGGGAGTGACGAAGGTGCAACCGGGGCAACGAGTGGTACCCTTCTTCACGGAAGCCGGGAAGAAGGGGGAAGGCTCTTGGCAGCAATATGTTTCTGTGCGAGAAGACTTGGTGTGGCCAGTCCCAGACACAATCTCAGATGAGACGGCTGCTCAATTTGTGATTAACCCGTGGACAGTCTACGGAATGCTGACTGACCTCCAGGTACCCAAGGGGGAGTATGTGCTGCAGACCGCCGCTGGCTCTGTGCTTGGCAGGCAGGTCATTCAGTTGGCCAAGCATTGGGGCATCAAGACAATCAATGTTGTCCGTCGTGCTGAGCAGAAGGAAGAGCTCCTTGGTCTTGGTGCCGACGAGGTTATTTGTTCCACGGAGGAGGACATTGTTGCTAGAGTGAAAGCAATCACAGGCAGGAAAGGTGCCTGGGGTGGCCTGGATTGTGTTGGTGGTGAGATGACGAAAAAGGTCTGTGCGAGCGTGAGATGGGGAGGGCAAGTGTTAGTGTACGGTGTCCTGTCAAGTGTCGACGCAACAGTTGCAATAACGGATTTGTTCAGAGGAGTGCATGTGACAGGGTGGATTCTTTACAATTTCAGTCCTGATCCAGCCAAACGACAGGAGTATATTGAGAATGTTGCGAAGCTTTTGGAAGAGAAAGTGATCGTACCTCTCGAAGGGGAGAAGTTCGACTTAGCCGATTTCAAAGCTGCTATGAATAAGACGGAGGAAGTTGGTCGAGGTGGTAAGGTACTACTCACAAGCTGATTAAATTTCTGTCACCATACTACGTTGCCCCCTATTGATTCCAAACCAGCTTCATCGTCTGAGGAACACTTGTCCACATATTTGAGTACGCTATAGGCTTTTGCACGTAGTGATGGCTGAGCATGGTGTTACATCCAGCATGACATGGGGAATTGAGTTGTCTGGTGCCTGAAAGGTACCGTGCGTTCATTTCAATGCTAGAGTTTTGTGAGAATTCGTAAAAACATTTTTGTGGCAAATGTTGATTAATTGATGGTGTGGTACATACGAAAATATATCTTAGCATCGTTCATCATGACAATCGTAGCCCTTAGAGCGTCTTGCATTTTTCCTGCTTAGTGATTAGAAAAACTCTGAAGACCATCATTTTGATACTTGCCTGAAAGCTCGTGTCTCCCCTGAATGGCTATTTAAGGATTAGCCCAGCATTTTCTATACTGCTTCATCTTTTGAGGTCTTTCTTTCATCTGGAGGATGGGTTGGTTGTGATGTAAAATATTTGCCAGAGTAAGAGTCGTCTCTTGGAGAATAATAGGTCTGATGCTTCGATTGCGTTAGCTGCACGACGACTAAAGCCTCACACTCGTGCCACAGCGACCGTAACAACTGCCTTCATGGCAGTTATACTCGTACCAATATTTACACAACATTATTTTTGCCACTCAGGCTTCATGACCGGTTTTGCAGGTTTTGTTAACTCTTTCTTCTTGCCGACTTTAGAAATGGGTGTCTCCACGGGATCTGTGGCTACTGCAGCTACCTTAGATGCTTGTTGTGATTTCAACATTCTGGCTTTTTCACCTTCTTCAGCAGCGGCCCGAGCAGCAGCTGCTAATTTTGCATCCTCCAGGTCACGTAAGGCTTTCGCTGTGGCTTCTGCCGCTACGCATGCAAGCCTATCGGCCTCCTCGGCATCAGACTTGGCCTTATCATGTGCGGTCTGCCTAGCAGCAGCTATTTTTCTACAACGCTCAATTTCGTCTGCAATGAGAGGTCCTTCCTCTCTGATAAATTTAGCTAACCATCGAAACGGATCGAGTGGCCTGAAACAAGCATAATAAGCAGAAGAATTATCATCGTTACATATGACACGCTAGAACTTTCTGAACTTGGCAACAAATTTTTCTGAAAGAACAAAGAGCGCCATTGCTCTGAAAACAGATATGGAGATATACATAATAAATACTACGAACTCTTGAAGCCCTGTGTGAAGAATGAGAATTATGAAAGGTAATCAGCAAAGATCCAAAATTACTAGGAAGTGAAGCCCAGCATGTATTGTCACCTTTCAACGATCAAGTGCTGCAGAGCTTGCAAGATTACTGCTACCATCAGAATGTCCTCCTGCAAACATATATCTTCTGGATAATCAAGGTGAGTTACACATCCAAAAGACACTGGCACAATTGCCAGAAAATAGTACTCATCATCGACTCAAAACGTAAGAAGCTGATATCGGCCTTCACGTACACTTTCAGCTACGTGCTACTCAGCAACACTTTGAGCAGTCTCGATTATAGTATGAAGACAAAATTTCGAAAATTGCGACACCCCGTTTCAAAATGGCACACAACAGACGAACACCAGCCTCAAGTGTGCTGGTTGCAACGACTTTGTACTAACAGCATGCATTTGCTGCGGCTGGGTAAAGAAAGAGTAAGATACTCAAAGAATCAATCTCGCTTGAAGAGGTTGTGGGATGTACAAAATGCAAAACTAAGCAACAGCATTAAGGAGTTTAATTCATCATATTGGTTGGCTACATACAAGGTACTGCCGAATGTATACAGCCATTTTCATAATATGTGCCTTCAGCTCTTTGGCACGATTCCTTACGTCTTCATCCTGCATAAATTTTTCTTTCAACAGCACTTAGAATCAGAAATCTGTCACACTGTTTATTTCACGCAGTCCAAAGTAGCTTAGTACCCGTTTTAGCTTCGAGCTAGAATCGGAGGTTACAGGGCAAACAGTGAAGGTAGTCCCCACTTCTACGAAGTCTAGAGCATGCAGAGGGCATTCCTTGATAACCAGGATATTTTGCTCAGCACCCCGCAAAACTGATATAGATTCCACCCTGTAATTTAAACAGAAATAAGATGTGATGGTATTGACGACCCCTAAAGTATGCTTAATTCTTCTGAGGGATGTAAGGTACCCAGGATCATCCCACAGACAGTTGCAGCATAATTTGATTCTCACTAGATCCTCGAAAATTCCATCTCAAGTATATACCTCAATATCATCGTCTGCATTAAACCACATTTCATCGAATGTAAGTGGTATTTTAGGATCCCTCGGTGGCGGTGCTGGTGGCGGTGCTGGTGGCGGTGCTGATGGCAGTGCTGGTTTAACCTGCTTCCCCTCCATAACTCTTCCTGCTCGCTTCAATGCATCAAAACCACGAAGTATAGCAATTTTCACATCCACCCGCTGAATCCATTGCAACCGAAAATATTAAGAACCCATGCTATCGAACGTTACCCAACAGAACGGAATCCCAATACCACGGATACAAACGGCAGTACGTGACAATAGAAATTGTTGCCAATTGATAACGGAGTAAGTCTTCGGCGCTATGAACTCAGTGACGACCAAACGAAAATATACTCAATTAAAACATTTCGCAATAGAAATTTCAGTATCGAATGACGCGCAACCTTCAAACATTGCCAAAGCGGAAAACCATTGAGATTACTTGCTGTGTCCCCGAGGAAATAAGCTGGTGAAAAACGGTACGTTAACCTAAGTGAGACTCGCACAAATTGCCTCATTGGGGAATACCCTGTGGTCGCGTAGCCTCTGGAACGGTCGCGTGCCCTATTGCTGGGTAAAGAGTCCCATATCCGCCCATCTCCTTGTATTCAATCCTTTCAGTAACTTGCAAATTGGCAAGAGACGGAGCAGGATCGATGGCGCCGGCAAGAGGAGATTCGAAGGTGTTGAACTTTGGCGATGTCACACTGAGGCGATCGGATCTTCAGCGCTTGAAACAACCGGAGGAGCTGAATGATCAGATCATCGAGTTTTATTTCGAGCACTTGACGTCGAATCTGAATGTCGACACCCAAAGCGGATCCGTGTCCCCCTTGCTTCTCGTGGGACCTTCTCAGACATATTGGTTGCTTCACTGCCCTTCCGACAGCTTGCAGGACTCTGTTAAACCTATGTCGTTGGCAGAACGAGAGGTTGTAATCTCCTCAGCCTTGCTACTCGCTTCTTCTTGGCATTTGCATTCGTGAATTATTCCCTAACTGCAGCTCCAGATCTCAATTCCATAGGCAGCTTGGATTCGTGGATTTAGAGAAATTTCTAATTGTCTTTGCTGTGTAAGACCGTTATGAACTAGATTGTCGTTGATCAGTTCCTTCATTATCGCGAATATAAAGGCTTTGCATGCTCCCCTGCCAAACATTGTGAAATCCAGCTTGTCGAGGTCTACATGTAATACGGAAATCCATTGCATTAGCGTCCATGCAAAACACGATGTGTAGCCAAAATAGTACATCTATGTGTTCGAAAACACCGGACGCAATCTAAAATTTGAAATTAGGGTTGGATTTTGACGGGGCAGATGGTGGTATTTGCATTGAATGATAATCCGGATCCTAGCGCAGCAGAGGGTGGATGTCATTGGAGTCTCGTTGTCTACAGCAGGTCAGCACCACATTACAGTTTTCATACAAGTCCCACTCCTAATCCTGTATTTGACCCAACTTTGGCCTTTGCCTATTTTATATGCTACAGATTGGATTGGGTGGGTGGTCATGGAAGTTTTGTAGGAAGTACGTCAAGGTCCTGAGGAAGCATGAGAGTGATTTTGCAGGCCTCAGAATGTGTTCGAGCATTATGACAGTCTCGGAGGACTGAACGGAGCCGTTGCAGTGCGTTTTGTCAACAAAATCAAGCTGCACATGGGTGAGTGAACTCCCAATTCGATTTCCTTGCTTTTGCCTCAAAACACAAAGCAAATATGCGCATTAAAACAACATACATCTCGCTACGAATTGTAATACGTTTCATGGGGCTACACATGGTCAAGAGAGCAAAGTAGATGAACTGTAATGTGAGTTTGCAGGAAAGAGAGCTGCACAAGCAAAATCAAGAGAACGTGAAACACCACAGCAGCAGAATGCTTACGATTGCGGGGTCTACGTGATGAAGACAAGCCAGCTCTTGTGCAACGCCTTCAAAGAGCAGCAGAGGGCTGTAACCTTTGCAGACATTGTGGATTCACTGCGAACCCAACTGACCCCAGCTTCTGTGGATGAGATGCGTACAAGCACCGTGAAGCTCATTCTTCAACTAGCAAAGCAATCGCCTTCCAGAGCAGCTGTAACGACGTCCTGAATATGCATATTGTTCATATTCAATCTCTAATTTTTCTAAACAAAGGCAAGAACCCATTCTCAACCTGCACAACCATGAGTTTCGGAGTGACTGCATCCTTTGAGAATCAGGAAGCTTATGATTTGTTCAGATAGGTGGTCTTTAGCGAATGTAATGTTTGTAAATGTGGTAGCTGGTGTTTTTGTTTAGGTTTCATGGATGCAACTAAATAGAGGACAAAATTAAAAGATAGAATATGTTCGATAAATGAGAGAGTGGTATGTTAAAGAGAAGCTGGATGAGTAAATCCACTAAACATTACATAATAGTCTGTGTGGACAATACATGTTTTGGATGATTTGAAGAATGGCTGCTTTTTATGTCTGTGAAATGTAAAAACAATTTTCTTTTTGTGAAGATTGTTTTTTATATATGATAGTAAGAAACCCCTCAATGATGGATTACTGATGAAATTTTAGTTTATTGATATTTTTAGTAAAGTTAATAATTTCTCCTGCATATTATGCATTCTTATGTAAAAAAACGATAGGAATTGTTTTCATTCACATTGAGGTAAAAATTGCAATGAACATTCTAATTGTTGAAATCATTAAATGTAGCCAGCGCTCTCCATAATATTTATTGTAGACTACAATAATTACCATAGCGCTCTCCATAATATTTATTGTAGACTACAATAATTACTATAGCTACAGTATTTAGAGTTTAGTGGAGAAGTATTGTTTATCCTCTCCTCTTTTTTCTTCTTGTATACGCGACACAATTAGATCAATAGATTTGTGTGTGTGAAGTTCTTTCTCCTTAGAAACCCTCTTGTGTGTAGAAACCCTCTTGTTTGTGTATGACTTATTACTACTTTTGTGTGTGTATGACTTACTACTACTCTTGTGTGTGTGTATGACTTGCTATTATTCTTGTATCTTTCTAAACATTCTCAACACACGATTCTCTTCTACACACTATCACAATTTTTTGCTTTAGTCTTTGACTCTTCAAACCTATTGCTATCCTTGTTCAATGTCTGGGTCATGATCTTGTTCTTCTTACTGGCCCCTCACACATTAATTGCTTGCTTAGAGCACTTATGCCACTCTTTGCCTTGCTCGCTCTGAATACTTGATTCAACTCAACTCCACCCTCTGTTTGCTCCTTGCTCCATGTTGCGCCCTGAATTGCCGCCAAACAGATGCCAAACTACCGCCAAATTACCGTTGAATCCGCCGCTGCCACCCTATTGCCCACCGCCATTGCCGCCCTAACGTCGCTGTCGTCGCCGCCGCTATTCGCTGTTGCCGCCCACCATAGCCCGCCGTTGCTCGTCGCCGCCCGTCGCTATTGTCCGCCACTGCCACCTTGCCGCCTTATCGCTGCCTGCTGCGACCATCTTATTGCTATTCTGCTGCCTTAATCTACAACTCTTTCTCCTTAAAAAAAAAATTATATATTTTTGTTTTTTCAAGTTCAAATTTATCATTTTATTTGACTTTATATTTTAAGGTACGTTTTACTCAACTTTTCTACTTGATCTTGTATTTTCTTTACAGATTTATTTATAATGAGTGCTTCAACATCTTCAATTGCTTCTACTATGGTTCCAACTATTACTAGTGCATCCCAACATTTTCAAGCTCTTTTATTTCCACCATTGAGTGTGGATGGAAACAATTATTTATTATGGGCAAAAATGGCAAAAGCAAATTTATTTGCAGAACAACTCTCGGATGCCATTATGTTTGAAGGATCTCCTACAACAAGTATTTCTATACTTCTTGCTATTCATTGGAAAGCACTTCTTCTCTTTCGTCGTCATCTTGTACTTGCATTACAACATCAATATTTGGAAATGGAAGACCGTGCAGAACTTTGGAAGAATCTTAAATCTAGGTTTGATCATCAAAAGACCATTTTTCTTCCACGTGCACATCATAATTGGACACATTTACATGTCTTGGATTTTTCAAATTTAAATGCTTTCAATAGTGAAATGTATAGTATTATCTCACAATTATGATTATATACACAAAGCATTTCTGAAGAAGAAATGATTGAGAAAACTCTCTCTACATTTCCTCTTGTATCTGCTATGCTTGCACAACAATACATGAACATGAAATTTCAGAGTCATTCTGATCTCATGTCCTATCTAGTTCTTGTGGAGAAGCAAAATGAGCTACTCTTGCGCAATGCGGAAGCTTGTCCTATTGGAACTACAGTTCCAAAATCTCATGCACTTAATATTTCAAAGTCTAAGAAGAAATTATATAAACATGGGAAACGTACTCATAAGTATTAGGGTAGTCATAGTCAAGACTATTTCTACCCATATGGAAAGAATAAACGTTCTACTATTAATTATAGTAAAAAAAAAAAAATCAAAGATGCGTTCTTACCATAAGTGTGGAATGATTGGACATTTAGCACATACGTGCCGTATTTCAGAATATTTTATTAAAATATTCCAAGAAAATAAGAAATTGCGAGCTGAGGCTCGTGAAGTTCATACCATGGATGCGTCCATGGATTCAATTAGTGTTGATGACTTAGAGGCTTATATGAATGATAGAACCTCTAATGATGAATCAAATGATGCGTTCATTGATTCTGCAACAACACATATTATCTTGCGAGATAGATGATTTTTTATTGAAAAATCTTCAACTTGGCAAACTAAAAATATGATGACCATAGCTGGAGCAAATGCGTTTTGTTTCCAAGAGGGCACAACGATGGTAAAATTACCTGCGGGTTCCATCATAAAATGTAAACATGCGATGTTTGCACCCTCAGCACCTCGGAGTCTGATCAGCTACCAAGATGTGCGTATTAATGGTTATCACCTCTCGACCGCCACTTTAAATAGAAAAGAGGTTTTGATTCTTGTGAAGAACCATAAAGTTGTTAAAAAAGCTTTTGCTACAGAAAATGGTTTATACCAAATTGTGATTCGGCCTCCTATTATATTTAATTTTGTATCATCTATGTCAGAGAGTCGTATTTCTCTCTGGCATGGACGATTGGGACATCCAGGATCCACATTATTTACAAAGATCATTCCATGTATAATTGGGTACAATTTAAAGCCTACAGATGTAGACTCCATGAAATTATGTCGTGTATGCGTGCAAGGTAAAATGATTATTCGACCTTCAATTTGGAAACTTCCACAAGAATTACCACCAATGCTTGAAAGATTGTATGGTGATATTTGTGGTCCTATTAATCCAATACCAGGACCATTTCGTTATTTTCTGGTCCATGTTCATGCATCAGGTAAACAATCACATGTTTCATTATTATCAACTCGAAACATGGTGTTTGCCAATCTTATATCTATGCTTATTCGCTTTCGGGCATATTTTCCTGATTATCCTATAAAAACATTGCGTATGGATAATGCAAAAGAATTTGCATCAAAGTCTTTTGAAGACTATTGTACTGCAACAGGAATTGAGTTGACATATTGTGTTCCATATGAAGATGCTCAAAATGGACTTGTAGAATTATTTATAAAGCGTGTATAACTCATTACCCGGCCACTCTTCCTTCATGCAAATCTACCTGCATCTATGTGGGATCATGCAATTTTACATGTTGCAACATTAATATGCCTCCGCCCTTCTTCTCTTGAAATTGTTTCACAACATGAGCTCATTTTGGGTCGTGTTCCAAATGTATCTCACTTACGAGTATTTGGTTGCCGTACTTGGATTCCAATACCAGAACCTCAATGGCATACTATTGGAGCTCATCAACAAGAAGGCATATATGTTGGTTTTGATTCACCAAGCATTATTCGTATTGTTGATCCATCAATTGGCATATTATTACGTGCACATTTACAAAATTGCCATTTTGAAGAAAATATATTTCCATCTCTTCAAGGAAGAGTATCCAATCAACAAAGAAATAAAGTATTCATATTTGAAGCACCAAAAATGTTTACAATGAATACCGATCCTAGGACATCTTTGGCAGAAACTAAAGTTGCTAAGATTTTACATTTAAAACGGATCGCGGATGAAACACCTGATGGCTTCAATAATGCACCTAGAATTACAAGAGTTCCTATTAATGAGGCTCAGAATGCACGTGCTCAGATTGCAATGCCATTGACTACAATACCTCAAGTTATAACAACAACAACTAAAAGAACTCGTGGACCAGATAAGCAACCACGTAAGAAGAAAGCTATAAAATTAACTAATCTTGATATTATTTCTCAAGAAATTGCCACTCATCTTGCAAGACTACTAATTCATGATGATATATCCATGCATAATGTACCTTTAATTCTTATGAAAAACAATCTTAGAATTCGAAGGAATAAGAACAAGTTGAGTAAAGAATTATCTATTCTGTATTGTGTTACAGATGATATTTGGGACAGACCATCTATTACGATAGATGAATCATTTGTATATATGATTATAAAAGCCCTTTCTTGCAAGAAAGACGATCTTGAACCTCAAACCATCAAAGAGGCGATGTGTCGCTCAGATTGGTCAAAATAAAAAACTACTATTGAGGAGGAGTATGCCTCTTTGCATAAGAGGAAAGTCTTTGGTCCAATTGTAGACACTCTTACATCTCGCCCTGTGGGATATAAAATGGTATTAATATGCAAGCCAGATGCTCAAGGCCAAATAACCCGCTATAAAGCTCGTCTTATTGTTCAAGGATTTATTCAACGATTTGGCATTGATTATGAAACCACATATTCTCCAATCATGGATTCAATTACATTTTGATGTATTATTGGAATGACAGTTCATGCCACCCTTGAAATGCAACTGATGGATGTAGTTACTGCATATCTATATGGTTCTCTTGATGCAAATATTTATATGAAAGTTCCACCTGACTTAGAAAAAAGAACTCTTAATCAACCCGCTCTAGAAAAATATCATGGTATTTAATTATGTAAGGCTTTGTATGGTTTAAAACAATCCAGATGAATGTGGTATCAACGTCTTCGAGATTATTTAATTGCAAATAATTTTATAAGTGATCCAGTAATCCCTTGTTTGTTTATCAAACGAGATAAAATTGGTTTTGTGATCATCGCTGTATATGTTGATGATCTTAACCTAGTGGACACTACATCTGCATGTATTACAGCTACAAACCTAGTTATATGTGAATTTGAGATGAAAATGCTACGAAAAATAACTTTCTGCATTGGTCTTCAGATTATGCATCTTACAGATGGTAGCATTTTTCTCTACCAACTAACGTATATTAGACGAATTTTGCAAAGATTTAATATGATTGATGCTTATCCATTGTCCACACCAATGGTTGGACGTGGTCGTGATGGTCATGATCCATACCGTCCATGCGAAGAGGAGGAGGAAATATTGGGAGACCAATATCCATACCTTGTAGCGGTTGGAGGACTTTTGTATTTA